GGTGTGTGTGTGTGTGGTGTGTGTGTGTGTGTGTGTGGTGTGTGTGTGTGTGTGTGTGGTGTGTGTGTGTGTGGTGTGTGTGTGTGTGTGTGTGTGGTGTGTGTGTGTGTGGTGTGTGTGTGTGTGTGGTGTGTGTGTGTGTGGTGTGTGTGTGTGTGTGTGTGTGTGTGTGTGTGGTGTGTGTGTGTGTGTGTGTGGTGTGTGTGTGTGTGTGTGTGTGTGTGGTGTGTGTGTGTGTGTGTGTGTGTGTGGTGTGTGTGTGTGTGTGTGTGTGTGTGTGTGGTGTGTGTGTGTGTGTGGTGTGTGTGTGTGTCCGTGAACGACGCTTACAAGGGAACCAACTTCGGCCAGACTGAGAAATCCGACGGGAACAGCGTGTGGGGATCCTACACCGTCGCCCTCCCCGACGGCCGCAAACAAATTGTAATTATATATATATGCATCATTTACTCCATTTTCCCATTTTTTTTATCTTATATATATATATACTTCTTTTTTTTTAACTGCTTCTTAATTCGCGATGCCTTTTTATATTTCGAATATAAGCCTAACTGTAAACCATTCATAAACAATTTTCCTTTTACAGATTGACTACACAGCTGACCACGGCAGGGGATTCGTGGCTAAGGTCAGCTATTCCGGCAAGGCTCAGCACCCTAAAGTTTCCGGTCCTGCCGTCGTCTTCCCTCAAAATGGTGGCGGATATCATTAAATGACAATTCATGCGATTTTGCTTGTTTTGCAAATATATATATATGATAAAAATAATAATAATAATCGTATGTATCAGTATAATTTCCACATCGGCATCTACAAATAAAATAATATACATGAAACCATCTTTTAAAAATCACTCAGTCTGAAAACGATTCAATATTCTTTTCGCATCACAGATTGCTGTATTGTACCCAAAAATATCCACAATCCTCATGAATATTTTGCCACCAAATAATGCTCCTCAAATCCCTTATTTAAGTGATGACATAGTGACTTCAAAATACCTCCTTCGCCAAGACAATATATCTCCTCGTTAGCAGTTCCATTTACAAACCGGTAATTATTGTTGCTTGAACAGGTTAAAGACAATTTGAATATAAAGATCTTTGAGGATTCTTACCCTAATCGTCTTTTGGTATTACCAGTGATAACTGTGAATTTAAGCTTTATACTTCACGAGATTTTAATTTCAAAACTATCGCATGACAATATTCTTCCTTTTATATATTTAGCACTTTTAATTTACTCAGTTTTGTCGTGAAATAATTATGTTCAGTGTGTTCCTTCGAAAAACAGGCATTTAGTTAATCCATAAGCATTAATGTACACTATATTATAAATTTTACTTACAATATCGAACATAATATTGTAATATTATCCCTTATTTCCATCCTTAGGTCATATGTAACTGAGATCACATATACCAATTTCCTTAATGATATATATCTATATCTGTGTAACTATATATCTATCTATCCACCTACCTATCCATTTATGTATAATTGTTATACATTGTTACAGGTGCAACAGTACCGACTTATTTTGACATGCATCTAAACAACGAAAGTTCTAATAATGATAATAAGAATAATAATTTATGATGTAGATGATGATAATGATGATGTCATTATTACAATTATTATCATTATTCTTGCTGCCGTTAATAAAATAATAATAATAATAATAATAATAATAATAATAATAATAATAATAATAACAATAATAATAACAATAATAATAACAGCAATCATAAAACAACAGAAGTAAAATTATTATTATCATTAATACTAATATCACTAATACCAATAATAATAATAATAATAACAATAATAATAATAATAACAATAATAACAATAATAATAATAATAACAATAATAATAATAATAACAATAATAATAATAATTAATAATAATAATGATAATAATAATAATAATAATAATAATAATAATAATAATGACAACAACAATAATAATAATGATAATGGTGATGATGATAATGATGATAACAACAACAACAATAATAATAATAATAATAATGATAACTACGCCAAAAATAATAATATTTTTTCTGTGTACACGCTGGTAATCCATTCAAGAACCAGGAAAATATGTACATCGACATGGCTACTTTCAACAAATTCTACTATAACAAACGTCAAGATAGAATTATTCCAAACCGAAAAAAGTGCAAAAACTATGATACAAAACTTTCAATCAATCTTTTCTAACCAACCGAGTTAATCGACAGCCCCAGAATTTGGATCAAAGTGGCTTATCAAGGCTGAAAAATTCATGGCCGGGAAATCAATCTTCGTCATCGTATTGTGACATTCCAAATGGCAGTTGGCAGCAGTATAAAATGGACGCGTGAACAATGCAAAACCATTCTACCTCCAACGACTAAGAGCACCAACACATTCTCACAAGATGATTTACCAAGTGCGTTTTCTTAAAATTTTTCAATTATTCTGAGATGTCAGAAAACGGTGTAAATATCGAAACTA